CAAAAGACAATTATCATCCAAATCCCACGGGCCAAATATCATCAAAAAATTATCATCTTCCCATCTAGAACTCGTAGCAACAACTCGGTTCTATTGACTCTATTTTGGGAGAAAAAAACAAAGTCATTGCGATCCAACAAAATACTCAATCAAAAATCCGCAAGATCAGAAAGGTTGCTTCACACTGTAAGTGAGAGGTTTATTGAAGGAAACTGTACCTGTAACCCTCTGTTTCGTTCCAAGTCTTTAGAACATATCCAAACACTAGTCCTCTCATTGGCAAATATTTCACTAAACCAACCTTACCGAACTAGTCGTCTCCTGAAATAATGTTATTTTATTAAAGCGGATACTCTGAATGGTATTCTAAGAAGCGCGAAATTATCATATTGTCATCGTCCTCGTCTTGTTTTTTTTTAACCGATCATCATCTTTTCTTCAGAGTTCTTAATTTCTCCAAGAAACTATCAGATTAAACCTCTCTCAAAACTTATCAACTATGGAGATCTCGTCGGAAATTTTATTAAACCGTTACCTAGTATCGGGGTGTTTACCTCCCAACACAGGTGACTGCGTAGTGGAACGAGATATATTCGAATAATCACCCGAAAATTTCGTAGATGGTGATGCGCACAAGTTCTTTTTTACAATTGTGCCATCAGAAACACAAAGGAAGAGATGTTCTCTGTTAAAATGAGAAAACAAATATAAATTTAAGAAGATTGAAATTGATTGGAAATGATTATGAGGATGATTGAGAGAAATTAAAGACACAAAATCAATTCATAAATAATGATAATTGTATCAATTATCTCTTAATTTATTTGTTTCCATCATATATTATTTCTTTGTAAATTTCTTTTTTTAATTATTTTGTACTTGTTTCTTATAAATAGATGAGTTATTTTTATTGTAAAATAACAAGAAGAAGAGATGTGTTAATAAAAGTGTTCTTTGTTTTATTTTTCTCTTCCTTTCTCTCATTTTAATTTCCGTATTTTATTTTTCAATATTCTCTCTGTGATAGATGGATGGCATGGAGGAAGCGCAAGATGACATACTTTGTGCAAGACTGGTACAAATTTCATTGGAAAGATGGATACCACAGAAAATATGAGATGATTTTGGTCGTCTGAAACCGACATTGCAAGCGGGGCGTTGCCGAAGTGTGGGTTCACGGTGCAGTCAGACTATGGGGGCTTCCTTTGCTCGTGCCGTCGCCGGAAGCACTACCAGTGGCACCGCCAGAAATAATGCTATTTTATTAAAGCGAAGACTCTGAATGGTACAGAGGATTCTAAGAAGCGTGAAATTATCATATTGTCATCGTCATCTTCCTCGTCTTGTTTTTTTTTAACCGATCATCATCTTCTCTTCAGAGTTATTAATTTGTCTAATAAACTATCACATTAAACCTCTCTCAAAACTGATCAACTATGGAGATCTCGCCGAAAGTTTTAGTAAACTGTTACCTACTGTCGGGGTGTCTACCTCCCAGCCCAGGTGACCGCGTAGTGGAACGAGATATATTCAAATAATCACCCGAAAATTTCGTAGATGGTGATGCGCACAGGTTCTTCTTTACAATTGTGCCATCAGAAGCACAAAGCAATAGATGTTTTCGGTTAAAATGAGAAAACAAATATAAATTAAGAAGATTGAAATTGATTGGAAATGATTATGAAGATGATTGAGAGAAATTAAAGACACAAAATCAATTAACAAATAATGATAATTGTGTCAATTATCTCTTGATTTATTTGTTTCCATCATATACTATTTCTTTGTAAATTTCTTTCTTTAATTATTTTTTAATTGTTTCTTATAAATAGATGGATTATTTTCATTGTAAAATAACAAGAAGAAGAGATGTAGTAATAAAAGTGTTCTTTGTTTTATTTTCTCTTTTTTTCTCTCTTTTTAATTTCCGTATTTTATTTTTCAATATAATATCAGAGCTTGGTTACGATTTGATCTATATATTTTTTTCTTAGTTTTTGTTTTCTACTCTCTTTGTTTTTGAGTTCTTAATATTCATATATTCAAATGGTTTGAAGTTAAGCAAAATCCAGAATCAAACGATGTGGTATGACAAAAAGAATCAAAGCTAGAAAAAATTCTAAGATCAAACGAAGTGGTATGTTAAAAGGAGATAAAGACAAAATTTCATGATCAAGCGAACTGATTTGAGGATGGATCAAAGCTCTCAAGAACCAAATTTATATCTATGGATCATTTTATTAACAATGAATTACTCATCAAGTTTTTAAATTATTTCATGTATTCTCTCTAAGATTGACCTTTTACATTATCTCTAAGCCAATCTTGAAGGGGAATATTAAAATGAGGAAACAAATATAAATTTAAGAAGATTAAAATTGATTGAAAATAATTATAAGGATGGTTGAGAGGAATTAAAGATACAAAATCAATTAACAAATAATGATAATTGTGTCAATTATCTCTTGATTTTTTTTGTTTCTATCATATATTATTTCTTTGTAAATTTCTTTCTTTAATTATTTTGTAATTATTTCTTATAAATAGATGATTCATTGTAAAATATCAAGAAGAAGAGATATAGTAATAAAAGTATTCTTTGTTTTATTTTTTTCTTCTTTTTTCTCTTTTTAATTTCCGCATTTTATTTTCTAATATTCTATCGGCGGTAGATGGGTGGCATGGAAGAAGCGCAAGATGACAACCTTTGTGCAAGACTGGTACAAATCTCATTGGAAAGATGGATACCAGAGAAAATATGAGATGATTTTGGTTGTCCGAAACCGATATTGCAAGCGGGGCGTTATTGAGATGTGGGGTCACGGTGCAGTCAGACCATGGGGCTTCCTTTGCCTGCGCCGCCGCCGGAAGCACTACCAATGGCGCCGCCAGAAGTGTCGCAACCTTCGCCTCCGGAAGCACCACCATTGCCTTCGCCGGAAGCACCGCTGGAATCGCCCCCACCTTCTCCACCGGAAGCACTGCCGCCGGAATCGCCGCCGCCGTCTCCACTGGCAGCATCGTAGTCTGACCGTCGCTGTCCAGTTCTTTCTTTTTCTTGAGACGGTACAGTATTTTCTTGGGATGAAATTGGATGAATTTTTTTTTTGGGATGGAATTTTTTTTTTGGTACAGAATTTTTTTATGTCGTAGAAGAAAGATGAACAGGGATGAGGAGTAGAAGTCATGGCCATGGCCGATGCCGAGAATCTTGTATTTCGGTTTATTGCTTAATTCGATTTAGAGACATTTTGTTGGTTTGGATCGGTTTACTTTTCGAGAGAACATGAGCATGTTTTCATTTTATGAATATATGAGTAAATTCCAAAATCTATGTTCCACCTAATAAAAGATACATAACGGTTATACAATCATCAAGCTAAGGAAAGAAATAATATCTAAGCTAAATATGAAAAGATGTGAGTGTGAACATCTCGTCTAAGGAAAGCACAATATGTCCGAGATTCTTGAGTAAACTTGGTGTATATTCTTGATCAATTTGCTACCTATAATTATGCTTTGATCAATGCACACGTGTAGTAATCACGCTTTCAAGTGCATATCCGAACAAGGTAAGCTCCCATCTCTCGTTTATACGTATGTCTCCAGTTGTATCTTCTGTTATCTGGTTCGTTCGAACCGTAACTTCGGGTTCTTCCGAACCGTGACATCGAGTGTGTTCTTCAACGTCTCCCGTTGTCTCGTTCGCCCGAACCATACCGTTGATTTGTTCTTCAACATTCCCCTTCAAGATTTGCTTGGAAGAATGTCGAAAAGCCAATCTTGACGGGCGAATGCCTTCATAGTTGTAAAAGTTCATCCATATGTATTGCATCATCTTCCATTGTTCCCCCTCACAATTGCAATCCATCACAAGATTTGTTCCTAAATTCTGCAAACACTCACAAAACGAATTAAAGAACACAAAGGAGGGCAAGGCACTCCGTTTTTCATAAAAACACAAATTTAATGCCGCAAAAACATTATTATAATCGAATAAGTGAAGATAAAGTGTCTTAAATTTGTAAAACTTGATTTTTAATGACATTATCATATTTTGATTGTTTTGTTCAACTTTCAGTAACATAAAAGTCATACCTTTGATTTGAAGTGTCACCTTATATTCCCCTCAGACCAACGGTCCCTTGATGAGATTTGACTTTGATTTGTTTGTCCCTATCTTATAGAAAACATTATCATAAAATATAAAAGAAGGGAAAATATAATGTTCCCCCTTAATGAGATGTTTCCATGTGGTGCCAACATTACAAATTTGCATCTCATCAAAGAAGGGATTAAGAAGCGTATAAGAGCACTAAGATCTTTTGATCCCTCTGTTACAATTTTCTTTTTAATTCCGCTGCAAATCAAAAACTCTTCAATGGAGTTTCATATGCCAAAGAGGGATGCAGATATTCTGCAATCTTTCACGTGTGTAAGAGCTCTAAATTTCATCCATAATGTCACATATGAAATGACATTAGAAGAGATGAAAAGTGAGAGTAAAACCCTTTGGAAACAACTCGAGAATTTCTTTCCTTCCTCTTCTAGCACAAACCGAGCCCAAATCAATGTCACTCTTGTTTACTTGTCTATGCTTGATGGATCTTTCAATGATTTGTGTATTCAAATTCTTCAAGAGGAGCCACTTCCATCCATTACAGAAGCAAGGGCAAGAGTAAGCAAATTGGAGTTCGAAAGGCTGATGAAAGGAAGAGAAACAAGTAAGTTGTCTGAAACCGATTATTACAACAATACATATTATGGTTTTTGTACTAAAGTTTTGCAGAGGTTAGAAGAAGAGGTTATGCAACTTCAAAAATCTGATGGGGACAATGTGATGCATTCCAAAATGGACCAAGCAATCACCATCTTCAAAACAAATGAAAAATCCATTCAAACCAATCAAGAAGCAGATGGAGATTGTTCTACCCTCATGGGAAAAGAAAACAAAGAAAAAATGAAGAGCATTGTCTTAGATAAATATGTAGCCACAGAAATCCAAAAACGTGACTTTTATCCCCGAAACATACCGCCGATTTGTTCTTCAACACCACCTCTATACAATTTTCTGTCAATCGCTCAGATTTCAAAAACCCTAGCACCTCATTCGCTCAGATTTTATTGCACCGAACCCGACACAGCAGAACCAGAAGAAGCCATAGACTGAGCAGCTGCAGACTCTGGCCGAGGCTGTGCAGAGGCCGAGCTTTGGGGTGGTCCAGGCCTTGGTCCTGGTCCGGGGTCGGGGCGTTGAGGGTATGGCTGAGCACCCGGTGGCGAACCATGATGAGCCATCGGGCCGCGGTGATGATGGTAAGGCGGGTACTGCTGGTAAGGCGGTGGCATATACCCGAAAGGAGGTGGAGGGTACCGGAAATGCCCATGCGGTGGTGGTGGCATTGGCATTGGCATTGGGTGAGAGGACGAAGCTCCTCTGTTCTCGCCGCCGATGGAAGTTGACTGGTCTTATGATTCTAAAGATAAAGTTTATGTGTACCTTCTCTTGAATAATTTTCTTTTGATTAGCATCAATCCGTTTGTATATTCCGTGTCTTTGGTAGCATTTATAGCCTACATGGTTGAAGGAAACAAATGGTGTCCGGACATGGATTCAAAGAGTTCCATCGAACTGAGTGTGAGCTTGGACACCAAGGTTACCCCTGATGCACGCTGAATCTGTTCCAAGCATCTAACCTGAACGATGAGGTTAATTTTTATAAGCCCGGCGATTTTGACATGCAAATTAATTAGGCCCATATCTTATTGCCAATGGGCCTACATTGGGTGTTTGTACTGCTTTGTTTTTCAAATCTCACCGAAAATAATATTTTTTTGAGCGACCTGGAGATTTAAATTCCATAATCCATGCACCAGAAGATCTTAATCCTCGCCCAAAATTATTAACGCAATTACACATCATTTATAGCGAAATATTTTCCTTAATTACTACAGCTTAGTTAACCAGAGGAGAGCCCTTGAACTCTTCAAACCGTCCTCCGTCTGTCTCTCCCACCCTTCATTTCTGAATCTGTAGATCAATGCCCTCGCAAGATCGATTTTTTTTCTTCTTTCCAAAATCTCTGAAACCCAGATTAAAAAATCCCATCTTTTGAATCTTTCTTGTGTCGCAAGCAATCGGGTTCAAAGAATTGGGGTCGTACATGCATGAGAAAACCACATAGGAGAGGAGCGATGGCGATGGAGAAGCCTTCGACGAGCTCTAAGTGTAGAACGCAGTTCTGGTACATCGCTGTGGCCTCTTTCCTTCTTTGGATTTTCTTGCTTTACCTCTTCAATTCCTCCGCCGCTACGGTTCGTAGCCACGAGAGATTGTTCAGAGAGGATGCCACGGATTTCACAGTTTCAGAACCCGAGTCAGATCCCGTCCCTGTCGTGTCCCGGGAGAATCCGCCTGAACAGAACGATAATAGCACCGTAGAGAATACGAAGGTTTCCGGAGAAACCGGAAAGGATCAGACATCCGAGGATGCTGAGGTTGTGAATGATATTGTGGAGGAACTCGAGAAGGAAAAGGCTGAGGATGAGAAGAAGGGAAGTGACTCGGTTTCTAGAGGGACAAATCAGGCAGGAGATCGAGATTCGGCTGTGGCCAAAGAGAGGGAATCGCGAAAAACGAGATCTTGGGACAGATTGGAGTCAGAGAGGAAAAGGGCGAGCGATGATGATCAGGAAAATCGGGAGGATACAAATGATAGTGACGGGAATGTGGCTGCAGAGGGGAAGCAAACGCGAAAGGGGAGTGTGAATCGATCATTTCATAAGGCCATTGATGAGGAGCAGAGCTTTTTCGACACTAATAACGAGATGGAATTGCAAAAGGATCGATCTGATAACGTATTGGAGGAGGCAGAAACCAGCATGGAACAGCAGAATGATCAGCCAGACGAAGTTTCTAAGCCTGAGAGAGTTTCCGAGTCCAAGAATGATTTCGGACGGCAAAAAACTCGATCAGAGAGAGTTTACGAGTCCAAAAGCAGCAGTGAACTGGGGAAAGATGGGTCTGAGAACATGTCCGAACCCAAATACGACGGAAGACCGCGTAAAAACAGAGTAGAGATAGCTTCCGCAGCCAAAAACAGCTCAAAATCCCGAAATCCCCGACCAAAGAGAGCCCCAAACGTCATGGTAAGACCAAGAACAACTCGCCCTAACGATCCATGTGCAGGAAAGTACGTATACATCCACGAAATTCCCGAGTTATTCAACGAGGAACTCCTGAAAAACTGCTGGACACTGAGCCGGTGGACTGACATGTGCGGACTGACATCGAACCTAGGCCTCGGCCCTCGTCTTCCCAACATGGAAGGCGTGTCCGGATGGTTCGCCACTAACCAGTTCACTTTAGAAGTGATATTCCACAACAGGATGAAGCAGTACGGATGCTTGACCAAGGATTCGTCCTTGGCCTCTGCCATTTTCGTCCCTTACTACTCCGGTCTCGACGTTATGCGTTTTCTCTGGGGACCGTTCCCGTACATGAGAGACGCAGCAGCTCTCGACCTGATGAAGTGGCTGAGAGAGAGGCCGGAGTGGCGGAGAATGGACGGCCGAGATCATTTCATGATCGCCGGAAGAACTACTTGGGATTTCATGAGAACTCCTGAGAATGAATCCGATTGGGGGAATAGGTACGTAAGCATGACGTTAGCGTTAAGGCTCATGCAGGATTACTACATGTTGTAAAGGCATATACATTTGATGTTTTCTGTAACATTCTAGGTTGATGATACTGCCGGAACCGAGGAACATGACGATGTTACTGATCGAATCGAGTCCATGGAACTACCACGGATTCGCGATCCCTTACCCGACATACTTCCATCCGTCGACAGACGCCGAGATTCTCCAGTGGCAGAACCGTATGAGAAGGATCAAAAGGCGATACCTCTTCTCCTTTGTCGGAGCCCCACGTCCAAATCTAGGAGACAGCATCCGGACAGAGATCATGGACCAATGCAAAGCTTCCAGAAGAAAATGCAAGCTTCTAGAGTGCGTTTCAGGTTCCCAAAAATGCTACAAACCAGACCAGATCATGAAGTTCTTCCTGAGCTCCACGTTCTGTCTCCAGCCGCCAGGCGATTCCTACACGAGACGGTCCACGTTCGACTCAATCTTAGCCGGTTGCATACCGGTTTTCTTCCACCCGGGATCGGCCTACGCCCAGTACATATGGCATTTGCCAAAGGACAGAGAGAAATACTCGGTATTCATACCGGCGAACGAGGTGAAGGGAGGGAAGGTGAGCATAGAGAGGGCGCTGAGCAAGGTGCCAAGGGCGAAGGTGGTGGCCATGAGGGAAGAGGTGATAAAGCTGATACCGAGAGTGATGTACTTCGACCCGTCGTCGAAGAGGGTGGGAGGGTTCGAGGACGCGTTCGACGTGGCGGTGAAGGGGGTGTTGGAGAGAGTGGAGGGGATAAGGGGGAAGATGGAGGAAGGGGCGGAGGAGATATTCGATTTTCCGGAGGAGTTTTCGTGGAAGTATAATGTGTTTGGGCACGTGGAGAAGCATGAATGGGATTCATATTTTGATAGGCCTTAATGAGTGAGTGAGAGATGTGATGATGATGATGATGATGATGATGATGAGGACATGTAATGCAGTATGTGTGCTTTTGTGTTTTTGTGAGAGAGGAGACGCAATGTAGAGCTTTGAGGCTAGAGATACTGTTAGTGTTTTTTTTGAAACCACAAACAATGTTGCTCTGTTTTTTAAACAAGAAACAGAGTTTGCAGTTCTACAACATGTATCATTCATGCTCAGAATTTATTCTACAACATACACACGCAACAAGTGATTGCAGTAAAGGAACTGAAATATTTCAGACGAAATCTTCTAGGATTGATCTTATAGATCAATTTAGTGACAATACCGGGAAACATATTAACATAGTTAAATATTTTTTCTAATGTAGCAGCAGCGTTTGTAGTCCAACGGTTAGGATAATTGCCTTCCAAGCAATAGACCCGGGTTCGACTCCCGGCAGACGCATTTGTCTCTTTTCTGTCAAATTTCCTTTCTATTTTGGGATATCAAACTTTGGCATTGGCATATGGATTTCTTTTTTCAATTAAAACTTCGAAGAAAATATGGAAGAAATCGAAAAAATTAACATTTATACAATATAATGAATAGTGAATAGGATATAGAGAGATTAAACATCAGATAATGGAAAATACCATTGCAAATACAACTTCTGAACCTCGGGCACTTTATACATTCAGTAATCTCATCCTTTCATTTCCACTCGGGGTTTATTGCGCATAAACAAAAACAACCGACACCAGAAAATCAGAGTCCTCTTCTTAAAAAAAAAACAAACAAACTGGGCATGGGGAAAACAATGTAAAGAATGATCTGAACCGGAGATGCCATGAAAGAGACCTTCTGCAGAGTTCAGAGCCAATCAGAAGCTGCTCAAGCTATATACCAAAATCCACGCGAGCTGAAACGCAAAAGTAACATGCCCCCGAAGAGATTCAGCTATCGATGTTCCAACGTTTATGTAGTAGATATTTTGCCAAGACTATCGATGAAGGTGATGTATGGAGAGAGGTGTACGGACCAGGAATAGACTTAGAGAAGCAAAAAGACCCTCCTGCAGAAGAGCTGCGTGGCCGCCAAAGTCTTCTTCGTCGATCTTTAGTATCAACGTGTAGTAACTGTACACTATGCCCGATGACACTGCCAGAAATCTGCATATTTACAGTCAGCGTGTTAACCCGTCAATCACCCATTTCGCCAGTAATTCACGCTCTATTAAAAAACCGACCTGCAGATCGGATAAATCAAGACTGAAGAAGGTCTAAACAAGACTCATAGTTGTATAAATGTTGACAGTTACCTTCTAAAAACACAATTAGCATAAATCAAACCTACCAACAGAAAATGATGCAACAAAAAATACTGGATCTTTGGATCTGGTGATATGCCAATAATTGTTTTTCCTGACATGAGCGACACACACACACACACACACACACACATATATATATATATGTATAATTAGATGATTCCATGGCAACTTACAGCAGAATCCATAAGCCTCCGACCAGAGGCATCGCACCCCATAGCAACCCGCATACAAGTCCCACCACTTGCCGGATCCAATGCAATACATCTCCTAGTTGATCCTGCCCCATTACAAATTACAGATTTATTAAACCCACAATTTAAAAACAATAGCAAATTCGATAGAACAATCGCTTCACCATCACGCTGAGAAATCACAAACATCCCACTCTAAGCCCCTGGCTCTCAGTTGGTCAAACCACTAAAATTGGACTAAGAACTCAGAGAAAGAAACCGACTTTAGACCTCTCAGTTGCTACTAGAGATACATTCCAACTTCTAAGGTTGTAAAATTCCAGAGACAACTCAAGTATTCAGTTCCAAGGACAGAACAAAGGCAATGACCTCGACTTTTAACAGATTTAGCAACCGGGTATCGGGCAAGAAACCACAAAGTCCTAAACATCTGCGACCTGTGCCTGAAATGGAGCATACCTTATCCCAGGAAGCTTCTGGATCAAACAATTTGGCGAATTTGGAAGCACCCAGGTGATTGCTTTGGTAATGCAGCTGTTCATGGTTTTGATGCTTCAACTTCGCAGATTTCCCTTTTTTCATATTCTCGATCTGGTTTCCAAAAGACCGATCCAACACAAACCCAGTTCAGAAGACCGGATCGTATGTCTGAAGAGAACCCAGCTCAAAAGATCCGGTTGAAGCCGATGTAATCGATGAGACTAGGCCGAATCTAGGGTTCTTAAATTCTGGGTTGTGACGGTTAGCTTGAAATCAATTCACGTGCCATGCACGTGATAGTGAATAGGTAGTTATTCTCAAAATAAAACCAACAATGATTAGGAGAGGTAATTAAGAACAAAGCATTAAGGTCTTTTAATTGTATTTTATGTATGAAAATTCAAGAGTTTTGTTCATTGTTCTATTAAGATGGCGATTTCATGAGTTGAAATTATAACTTTAGATTTAGACCTCATAAAACTGAATCGCGTTTTAGTAAATCTTTTTTTTTATGAAATCATTTTAGTAAATCTAAGCTTGTGGACCTTTTATGTGGTTTGTTAATTCAAAATTTATGATTGAAATTTTTATGACTAATTATCATAATTAGTTGTTTAAATCTATTATTTCCTACCGTAGGCACATCACCTACCTAACACCCATTATTTAAATTTTGTAATACTTGTGACGTCTTTAAAATTCATTTTTCAGTAAGTTAATATTTAACTATTACATTAAAATAAAAAATGATCTATCTCGCCGGGGTTTGGTACATATTATCGCGAATTAAATCTATATGTTTAAACCAAAATAAATACTAAAATATCAATTAGAATATTGAATTAAATGAACTTAATAAAAATCTATGTATATTTGGAATAAAATCGATTGGATCATATTAAAATTAAATGATTTTGATATAAATGTATAATCAAATGATTTAGTAGAACATACATTTAAACCATACAATTAAGATGCAAATAATATATATATTAATTATTCTGATGATCAACTTTTAAAATAAAATCTATAATCTATATTTTGATTTAGTTTGAATATTTTTTTTATTGATTCTACTGACACGTAATTTTTACCAACGTGGTTAATTACCACGAACAAGAGGTAACTACGGATCAGAACCTTCGACCCCATTCTCGTTCGACACGTGTCCTCTTACAAATAACTCCGTTTTCTCGTTCTTGGCGGTCCTGTCTTTTCGCAGTCTTTTTGTTCTGCGGGTCCCTCGCTGTTGACGTTATCTGTAACGGAGTTTCTCCCTCCCGTCGTCACGACTCACGACTTCACTTATTCAAATAAATTAATAATCCTAATAGCAATCAAAGTTTTTTTTTTTGATGAAATCAAAGTTATTAATAAACTCCAACTCTCAAAAAATTCCATTTGCTTATCTCATTGGTAGGTGTATATACAACAAGAGAAATCGTGTTAGTTTCTTATATCAAATCAAATAACACATAATAACCCAACAGCTTATGGGCGAGTGATCAGCAGATGAGTGTTGGCGGTTCGATTCCTGGTTGGGGAGAGGTTTTCACATGGGGCTGCCCCGGTCCTCTAAGAGTGTAGTTGGGCCAAAGATCCGGTGAACTTCCGGATTATAAAAAAAAACACATAATAATAAATAAATGAGTAGAACTGTTCCGATAATTAAAGAGCGTCAGAATATTCTTTTTTAAAAAATAGGATGGAAAATCAGAATATATAAGAAAACATAGAAGACATGCTTAGAGGAATAGTTGTCCAAAAAAAAAAAGAGACAACATGAGGGTGATGTTATGTGGAAATGACGATGTTGTCCTCGTCGGGATTGGTCAAAACCTATGAGGAGAATAATTAAATTCAAATCCAAAAAAGGGCATATTCCTTTAATCTAATTACACGTAAAAAAAATGCAGAAAATATTAATAATTGGTAACGTTAGAAAATATTTAAGACGACTTCCTTAAGAGTTATGGTCCATGAATACGTTAACCGGACCTAACATTCTTGTTTTGCATTTTTACATCGTTAGAGTCAAATTAATTGCAATTAGGGGATATTTTTTAAAAAAAATTAATGCATCTGTTTTTTGTTTTTAATTTTTGGATATGAAATTAATTTTGTTTGTGTAAGAAATTACACGGGATGGCTTTGTGACAGAACGTTTTTGTCGAAGTTACGAGTGGTAGTAGAGCCGAGCGATCCGATGGGAGTGGAAACACGTGTCGAAATCTGGAGGGGTTGGTAAGAGTGGTGGGTCACCCAATTAGGAGAAAAGGAACAGGTCTTCAGGGTGGGGTTTACTGCTTATAGCCGGTAACTCCCGTAGGATTTACCGACAGGTCCGGTCAGAGTGTTATAAGACCAGGGGTTTAAGCCTACGTTACCTTTGGTGGTTTTCTGAGGGGTTTTGGGTCATCGGAGAATTCCTTTCCTCCCTTCTCTGTTTCATTCTTTTCTCTCGAAGGAAAAAAGCACCCTCTTTTCTCTATTTCCCGGCATTATATGGGTTGGCGAGACGAATGTGATGAGAATTTTTGTCCCCTTGTAGAGAATTCTGTTGGTTCTTCGTGATTCTCCGATCTTGCATTTGCCGGGGAATTTAGTGCAGATTCTGTCTTGCCAGGAAACTTTTGGGCCTTAAAACTGGTGAGAGTCGCCATGGATCTGCTATTCATATTGCGGGCATGCGTTTCCGGGTTTTTTTCCTGTGAGTTTTTGAATAATCTTCTGGGGGGGAATAGAGAAAACTCGGGTTTTTTCCTGAATTTTGGTTTTCCGGAGGCAAAATCGTGTTTGCTTCCCTTAAAATGGAGAAAAACTGTAATTTGATTGTCAATCTAGTTCGAAACGAGTCAATGAGGCCTCAAAGTTACAATCTTTGTTCCTTTTTTTTAATCATAGAAACCTGTTTCTGAAATGCATATCTGCAATCCATCATGTTTTGTTGAATTATGGATCTGATCTGAGATGATCGGCCATTAGATCCCTGGTAACTGTGGTAACCAAGGATAATGTCTGGTTTGGACCATGCATATGTGTATATGATATGGGTTCTAAGTGAGGGGTTTTTTTTTTTAATCTTTGGTGAGATTTTTCTTGCCTGGAAATGTAAACAACACCACAGGTTTTGTCTTGTTTGGATATCTCTGGTACTTTGGAACGTTAGATCATACGTCTCTGACAGCATATCTTGTACTTTGTTGTGTCGGATCAACGTGTGATCAGCTTCAAATTTCTTTACCAGGGGTTGGATTAATTGGTTACAGTGTGATAATCTTTCAGGGATATTGTTTGGATTAGCTTGAGCGGGCTGTGAAGGATACATGAATACCTGATAAAAGCTTTGTTTTCGTGAACATCTGAAATGATCACCGAACCATGGTGCTGCAGAAGAGGCTAGATTATGGACTTAACGGGTATCAGGTGCCTGCCACACCTCGAGCTGCAAGATCGGCTAGAGTAAACAGCCTTTTTTTTCTTTTCGGGCTTCCAATTCGATCTTTTCACTTGATTTTGTTTGGTATTTCATCTGATATGTCTGGTTGCGTGCTTTCTTCGCTAGAGGAGCGCTTTCAAGAAGAAAGGCGCCGACCATCAAATCTCCCCATTTGATTTGTTGGCGGCCGTAGCTGGAAATTTTCTGCGCGAGGGTGGCAATTCTTCCTCCTCGAGCAACAATGCTTCGGGCAATGGAGATCAATGTCCGGCTACACAGAGCCATGTGAAGAAAGAAACACTTGATGAGGATCAAACAGCGAGAGAAGAAACTTGTGTTCATGATGATGCTCAAAGGAGATTCTTTGTCTCCGAGATCCTTCCGAAAGCTCATCAAATCCAAAGCCTGAGTCCTCTGAAAGATTCCCATCTCGGGTCTACATCCGTAATAACATCTTCCGATTCCTCAGAGAGGGTTGGCTCCCGAGAATTGGTGTTTGGGAGCAAGAACCAAACTGCAAGTCCAGATGGTGATTGTGGTAAGTCTGAGCATAATGATAAGGATTCAACTGTTGGCAGCCTGATCAAAGAAGTGAAGTTGGTTGAGGACATGGTACCGATGAATGAGCATCCTCATATAGGTAGGACACCGACTTACGGGAATTCAATTCTTCAAAATCCTTTGCCTGTAGAGCCAGATGGCGTAGATTTAGTTAATAGGGGAAATGATGATGACGACGAAAACTCAGCTCGGGCTTATGTTAGTGACACAACAAAATCATTTAGGTCAACTCTGCATGTTGGAGATAGAAGAATAAGGAAAATCTTGGCTTCAAAGTGTTGTACAGTATCCCCGAAACCAAAGGGTACAACAGGAACTAATTCAAGTGAGCATGTTTTCTTGTTGCTAACTTGCTGCTCATATGTTCTTTTGTCCGTGTCAGACAAATGTATCATGTAACTGTGGTTTGTTCTGAAAATCTTGTAGGCCTAGATTTGAAGCCTGGTTACAGCAGCAGCCTAAGATCGGAGAGGAATTATCCGATCAAGAAGAGGAGATACTTCGACTGTTTTAATCCATCACAGTCGGAAGAAGAAACAGTCAAGAAGGAAGGTCATTGTGGTTCTCCTCATAAGGATATCACCAGAAACAACGGAAAAAATACTTGTACGTGCGTTTTCTTTTCATTCGGGTTTAGCGCCAAACCTTATTGCGCATAGCATATTCATGGCCCGACATTTTGCTTTCGAGTTTTTTACCTTCCCTTTTTTTTTCAGCTTCAGCCATTTTATCATCCACAACTGATCAGAAGACAAAGCTCCAGTCAAGAGACTCTCAAGGTACGAAAACCTTAGAAAGTTCACATATTTACATTTTCGGGTTGGTCTAGTGAAATGTTTGCAAACACATTTCCAGCTTTGTAATCATCTGTTCCATTTTCATTGTTGTGCTCAGCCAAGCTTAGAATCAAGTCCTTTAGAGTGCCTGAACTTTTCATTGAGATTCCAGAGACTTCCACTGTTGGTTCTCTAAAGGTTTGATTTTTTTGGCGTTTACAGTTTCCTATGATATTCCGTCTTATTCGATAATGACTAAAGCTCGCTTCTTTTCCGTAGAGAACGGTCTTGGAGGCTGTGAATGCTATACTCGGAGGTGGATTACGTATAGGTGTTCTTGTTCAGGGGAAAAAGCTTAGAGACGACAATAGAACGCTTCTTCAGACCGGAATCCCGCTAGATGCTCTGTCAGATTCTTTAGGCTTTTGTCTTGAGCCTAACCCTTCACAATCTCCAAAACCGCTTTGTCCCGGAGATTCTAACCCTCCTCTTCCTTGTAATATACCTCAACCCCTAACCAGGTCAGACTCACTTCAAAGACATGATTTTCATGAAAGTTTTGTTCTTTATTTTAGTTTATAGTAAAACAAGATCAGAGCCTCATTCTCATGATTTTTATGAAACTTCTCGGCCAGGTATCTCCCATCACCCGGGAGCCGTAATGTTTTGGCTAAAAGGAATAACTCTGTAGAAAGTGACCGTGACTACAAACCCTCTGCATCCAGAGCAATGACAGGTAAAACCACGTCGGAGTATTCAAGAGCCTTGGTCCCTGTCCCTCCCTTTCAAGCAGAGGCTATAACAGTAATTCCACCCCGGAAACCCAAGCGGTGTGAGGTGGCACAACGCAGAATCCGTCGACCCTTCTCGGTTGCAGAAGTGGAGGCCCTTGTTCAGGCTGTCGAGAAACTTGGGACCGGAAGGTAGCATTGTCTCTACCCGGTTTAAAAGTAAAAGGGTTCTCATCATTAAAGACACCCATATAATAGAAATGACCACATGATCGAGTTCCTAACCCGTTTGTTCTATAATTGATCGTTTCATATATATACACAGGTGGCGCGATGTAAAGTTGCGAGCTTTCGACAATGCAAAGCACCGGACATACGTGGATTTAAAGGTAAGGTTTTGATCTCTTGAAGGGGCTTGATGTCGCTTGTGCAAGAAGTAAATGTTCATTAGATTGCCCTAGAAAGCTCTCAAACCGTTCGACCAGTTCAAACCCAAACTGAAACTCTCGATGCTCTGTTTCTTGGAAGATCTTGTGTTCTGTTTCTTGGTTTTTTGACGAGCTGGGCGATATTAGGACAAGTGGAAAACGCTGGTCCACACGGCGAGAATATCGCCTCAGCAGAGGAGAGGGGAGCCAGTTCCGCAGGAGCTCTTAGACCGTGTCCTAACGGCTCACGCCTACTGGTCCCAGCAACAAGGGAAACATCAGCAACTGACTCAGTCACATGGGCCGGAGACCAGCCTCGGTCTCTAAGCCTAGGGTTTTAAGGCATCACTCCATGCGAACATGGACATAGTGAGATGAAATCCAGTTTTGTTTTCTTCATATACACACTTCAGGGTTGTTTTTTTCATGTTTTTTTGGTGACGAATCAATGTAATAGAGAGAGAACAGAGAGGAGGACATATAGATGGTGAAATGAATCTGGTGTACTTTGATACAAAGGCTTGGTTTCAATAAGAGATGTTTGGTGACATTGAGGTTGTCATTGTCCATGACACAAAAGTATATGTACTTTATCTCGTAGCTTCTTTTTTTTTTTATAATGAAAATTTATTGTGAACTAGAATAGAGAAGAATTTCTCAACTCATCCCAAAATGATCGATTACAAAGTTATATATATTTATATATATATATGTGTGTCTATATAGAAAAATAAAATAAAAATCTGCGATAAGGAAAAGGCATTGCGCAAATGAAGTATATCAAATACAATTCTATAATGAAAAGCTTATTCTAGCTCCAATGTATGGGTACAGTTCGTGACAAACTATTAACTATACCTATATGACCTGCAATTTAAGTCTAACGTTAATGTTTGGACATTTCTATTAAAATTGGCATTTCTCCTTTTTCTGAAAAGATTTAAAAAAAAAATAGAAACTTATCATGAATTCGATATATAGCCAAAAGGATAATATTTGATTTTGTGTGTGTGTATGTGTGGAAAGAATGATATTGACTTTTTTTTAAAAAAAAATTAATACACGATTTCGAGGGAAATTGAAAAAAAAAATCAAAAGAAAGAGATGGGGAGCATCGTGGAAGATACCACCATGGTCCATAGGCTTCAATGAATGTAGAGAATATTGTGGAATATGCCATTTTCATATCTTTTATCATGTTCAAGAAAAAACTGTAGTAACAAATTTATATATATATATATATATATAAAAGGTGACACCTTTGTGCAATCTTTTAGGATATGGTCATGTGGCTATGAATTGAACGATGATGCTACGTTATTAGTAGGGCTTGGCGTTTCGGTTCGGTTCTTCGGAACCGGACCGAACCGAACCGTTAAAACGGTATTTTTTTCGATCTGAAATCGCTGTTATTTCCCGAACGGTACCATTTTTAGAGAACCGAATTTTTTCGAAACCGAACTGAACCGAACCGAACTTTAAAAATCCCGAAAAACCGAATATTTTTACAGGAAAACTATCATTTTTTTAATAAAATCCGAAACCGAACCGAACCGAACCGATACCGAAACCGAACCGAACCGAATACAATAAAAAACCCGATTGGTACCTATTTTTATAAAACCGAAAGAACCGAATCGATTTATTCTGTCCCGAACCCGAACTGTTTCCCGAAACGTCCACCCCTAGTTATTAGTCTAATCAACTTTTCTTAAATAAACAAAAATAAAATATTATTTTGTCCTTTTCTTGTCACACCAATTCTTCTTTTTTCCTTCATAGGGAAGGATGTGAGTGGCGGCATTTGGTCACAGCATCAATGCTACATTTATTTATCCGTGGACATCCCAAAAAAAATATATGCCTAAATGTGATGTTATATATTATATATGGGTGCAGTACATTTAATTTTTTTTCGTTCAGTATATATTTTAATTTAAATTTTGAATTAAACTAACGTAAATACACTCTAATTCGTTATTACTTTATAAGAGATATATCTAATCTCTCGTTATTCCTCAGTAGTTCCGTGGTAGAGCGGACTATATATATATATATCAATTAGTGAGATATCAACTTTGATTCGAAACACGCAATTCAGTTCGAAATAAATAATGGATTTTGAATCTAAATATTTCAATCTAAAAATTTGTGAGCTTTTGGATCGATTTGTGATTGGAAATCACATTGTTATTAAAATTCGAATTTAAAAAAAAATATATATTTAAAAAATTAAAGAACAAATTTAGTCGACCCGAACCCAAGTACGAAGTAAAGGTTCAGATTGGGTCGGATGGTTCCGATTGACAACCCCATAGTTAGTACAAATTTTTGCACATAATTCCTTGGAAAAAAATGACTGGTTTTTAAAATAAATAAAATGTAATAATTAAAGTTTCCGAATTTGTAAAGCGGATAGGGTAAAGAATACATGATGACTTCCAAAGTGTAGTACGAGTTGTTTTTGGCCCAACAATCATATAATACTAATAATAATACATTTATTCATTGTTGTGAGAGTCTACCCTGCATTTTGACTCTTACACAAAATTTAATAATTTATTTTTTCATGAATATCAAATAATAATGTAGTATGTAATATAGCGATAAAAAAAAATACGGTATTTACCTTTATTAATAAGTGTAAATACCTGTAACAATTGAAAATGTGATTTTTGACCATGTCCTTTGTTTTATTATAGTGGTTAGATTTTACCCATCTAAATACATTATTTAAAATTAACGTACATGGTTATCCTCTTATTTAGTAAAGGACAAATTATGTATGATATCATTCTCATTATATTTGGTTGAGAAGGTTTCATTGTCATAACCTTGTTGTTGGAACTAGTTCACAGCCACCACGACTTTAAATAACAAAAAGGACGTTTAAATAAATACAGGTGATGCGTTTGCGTTTGCGTTTTTCGTTTTGCGTTCTGCGTTCACGTTCACTCACCACCATATATACATATATATATATATATATATATATATGTATATATATATATGGTCAAAAGATCTTCAAATATCGTATTCAATTAATGTATTTTTACTATTACAAAAATAATATTGAGAAAAGTTTAAAAAACATAGCGGTTAAAAATTACATTGGATACACTAACATAATAAAATTGTAGATTTCTGAAAAATCAAATAGTTGAAAAAAAGATATATACATATTAATGCTAACTTTTTGACTAATATTAAGCAATTCATAAAAAAAGTTATTGTACACTAAACAATTAATTTTGACTAGCGATTCATTCAAATGCTGAAGTTTTTTCCAACTGGAAATGAATGGTTCCTGTCGACAAAGATCCAGTTCGCAATTTTTGTGATAAATTGATTATATGCTGCATTATGCATTTTGATTTTCTATTTTTAAAAAGAAATTGAATATTTAATATATGAATAAAAAGATAAGAAAAACTTAAAAACAAAGTAAAATGTTGAGTGATGAAAAAAATGATAATTTAGGGTTTAAATTAAAAACTTTAATGAATTTTAATTTATGATTTTTACCTACTAAAATCCAAAAACCATAAAGTGAATTTCCTACTGTTAACTCCAATTTTTATAAATAAAAACTAAAAAAGGCTATTAAAAGTTTTTTCTGCAAACCAAAAATTTTAAAAAAAAATGTTTTTTTTTTTGCCATTTTACGAAAACCAAAAACCATGAAGCTGATTTCAATATTAATACTTTTGTCAAAATTATGATGTACAAACCTCGTGATGGTGATATGTATCAAATTAGTGGAAATTCTAATGTTCCACCGTCTCTAACCGTACACTTTTTTTAATCATAATATTCTATTTTTTATTGCAAAATTAAAAAAAAATAGATTTGAAGAGGCGTGTGAGAACAGAAGACCGAAAGTGGGATCCACAAAGTGGACCCCATCTTCGACTGACTTGTTCTTCTCTAACCGCTTGATTCTCCGCTGTCTCTGCACGTTTGGCTCCGACTGTACCCGAATCAAGTGATCCCATTGGTTGAATTATTATTTCATTTTTTACGCCGTTAATTTTACGAAAGTTGGTGACCACATTATAATTCCCACCATCCGATTTTACATCACGAAGGACGTACGTGGGATAACACTACAGTCAACGAGTATTAATTATTCTTTCTGATGCATAATATATATATATATATATATATATGAATTATACTGGTGTTTTTTTGTCTTTTTATTTGTATTTATAGTTTTGATTATACTTTATTGCAAAATTAATATCATATAACGTATATTTGTTATTCACTTGAATCCCTTCCCACCTCTATAAAAATACTTCATTTCTAATTACCTTAAACTCCATGATACTACTTTCTAAATAAAATTTTAAAATTCAGGTATGTGCACAAAAAATTAAGTAATTGAAATTGTATATAACCGGTGGATTTACTCTCATACCGGAAGAGTCGGGGGGTTTCCTAAATTATAAAAAAAATGTATAATTGAAATGCAATTCTATTAATTTCTTTCATCAAAAAAAAAAATTCTATTAATTTCAACACGCTTGTTTTTAATCACAAGTAAAATGCATAATTTGTTTTTGACAAAAAATGCATAATTTGTCTGAAACTTCGAAAAATATTACTTAAAATAGAAATGGGAAATTAGAGTATCATGACCCTGAGAAATTAATGCATTCGAGAGTTACATTATCGAATGTCAACGACAACTGAATACATTCACATGTAATAAAGTCATTTATTTTTTACAAAATAAAATACAATACGTGATATGACAGATTCTTTCCCACATTAAAATGTAATTATATATAATCATAATTGTCATCAGGGACAGTAATTCTGATTATTCGAATTTTCCCAACGAAGAAAAAAGATCAAAATTGTGCCGAAAAGATCCTGGTAAGAACACGGTCCAGGAAGTTTCCGGATCAAGTGATTTCTGATTGATATTAAAGGGGAAAAGAACGAAAACCCACGATGCATATCTTCTTATCTTTTTTTTTTTGTGTGCGCGTGCTTCTACTCTCTCCTTGACTTGCACTTAGCTTTTCCCCCATTTTTTTTTATCGCATCCTGTTGCTGAATCCTCTTTTTTTTTCGAACAGTTTTGCCGCGAACTCGACGGAAAGTTTTCTTCTCTGGACAAATCTCTCTGCTTTGTGGTTGGATCTGGGGATGTTGCTTTTCTCTGTTGTAGTGTTTGATTTCTTGATGTGGGTCTGAGTTTTTGTGATTGATCAGGGAGAAAGGTTCAACCTTTAGCGGTTTTTGCTTGGTGGGGAGTTTTCTGTTGATTTGGGTAGCTTTGGTCGCCTAGAGGGAAATCTTGGGAGAGTTCTTTGCTTCAAGTATTAGGATTTTCGGTGGACAACTGACTTGAATCAATTTCTGAGGTTAGGGTTCTTGGTAGGATCGGTTTGATTATGGGTTCCTATTCCCCCGGATACCCTGGTTCCTTAGATGGGTTTGATTTCAATAACCAGATCGATTTGCCTGGTTCAAATGAAACCCTAGGTGTAGGAAATGGATTCTATCTGGATGACCCTTTGTTAGATCTGGCCTCTTTAGATGTTCCATCTGCTCCTCCGACCACAAATTTTCAGAATCCTGGTACGGGTTCATCATCTCCATCCGATGATAGCGATTTCTCTGATTCTGTTTTGAAGTACATAAGTCAGGTGCTAATGGAGGAGGACATGCAAGAGAAACCATGTATGTTTCACGATGCATTGGCTCTTCAAGCCGCTGAGAGATCTCTTTATGAGGCCCTCGGGGAGGATTATCCGTCTTCTCTGGACCAGCAGCAGCCTCCTTGTCCCAACCAACCCGCTGACAGCCCTCACGGATCTTGGTCCGGTGGATCCAGTGATCATGGTGCTTCTAGCACGACCACTTCCTCTGATTCACACTGGAGTTTTGATGGTTCTGACCAAAGGCCTTCATGGTTACAGACTCCGGTCCCGAGTAACTATGTTTTCCAGTCTACTTCTAGGTCCAGTCCACAGTCTACAACGAGTTTCTCGAACAACCTCGCAGGTGGAGATAACAATGGGATTTTCGGGTCTGGTTTCAGTGGTGATTTGGTTTCTAGTATGTTCAACGAGAGCGAATTGGTTATGCAGTTCAAGAAGGGGGTAGAGGAAGCTAGTAAATTCCTCCCTAAGAGCTCTCAGCTGGTTATTGACGTCGAAAATTACATCCCATCTTCAGGATTCAAGGAAAATGATCATAAGGTGTTTGTTAAGAAAGAGAAGGATGAGAGAGAGGATAGTTCTTCATCCTACAGATTGAATGGAAAGAAAAGTCATGGGCGCGAAGACGAAGATTTGGTTGAAGAAAGAAGCAACAAGCAATCTGCTGTTTATGTTGAAGAAAGTGAGCTGTCTGAGATGTTTGATAAGGTTCTGCTTTGCGGTGGGGGGAACGGGCAACCACTATGCATCCTTAACCAAACATTTTCCAATGACTCTGGGAAGGAATCCTCAAACAAGTCCTCGAAAGGCGAGACAATGCAGCAGAATGTACAAGTGAACGGAACAAAGGCCCGTGGTAAGAAACAGGGAGGTAGTAGTGGTAGTAATTCTAAGAAAGAAACTGCTGATTTGAGGACCCTTTTGGTCTTGTGTGCTCAAGCAGTGTCGGTTGATGATCGTAGAACTGCTAACGAACTACTAAGGCAGATAAGGCAACATTCCTCTCCTCTCGGTGTCGGGTCAGAGAGAATGGCTCACTATTTTGCAAATAGTCTTGAAGCACGCTTGGCTGGGACAGGTACGCAGATCTACACTACCTTGTCTTCGAAGAAAACGTCTGCTGCAGACATGTTGAAAGCTTACCAGAAGTACATATCAGTCTGCCCTTTCAAGAAAATCGCCATCATATTCGCAAACCATAGCATATTGCATTTAGCTGGAGATGCCAAGACTATCCACATCATAGATTTCGGTATATCTTATGGTTTCCAGTGGCCTTCTTTCATTCATCGGCTCTCGTGGAGACCCGGGGGCCCACCTAAACTCCGTATAACTGGCATAGAGCTGCCACAACGTGGGTTTAGGCCAGCAGAAGGAGTTCAAGAAACAGGTCATCGCTTGGCTAGGTACTGTCAGCGGTATAACGTTCCATTTGAGTACACTGCCATCGCGCAGAAATGGGAGACGATCAAAGTCGAGGACTTGAAGATTAATCAAGGCGAGTTCGTGGCGGTAAACTCTCTCTTCCGGTTCAGGAATCTCCTGGACGAGACGGTTGTGGTGAACAGCCCGAGAGACGCGGTTTTCAAACTGGTGAGGAAGGTAAAGCCGAACATCTTCATCCCGGCAATCCTCAGCGGATCCTACAACGCGCCTTTCTTCGTCACGAGGTTCAGAGAAGCGATGTTCCACTACTCGGCTCTGTTTGACATGTGCGACACGAATCTGTCGCGGGAGGATGAGATGAGGCTGATGTTCGAGAAAGAGTTCTACGGAAGGGAGATCATGAACGTGGTGGCGTGCGAGGGGACGGAGAGAGTCGAGAGACCAGAGACGTATAAGCAGTGGCAGGCAAGGGCGATCAGAGCTGGATTCAGACAGCTTCCGCTGGAGAAGGAACTGATAGATAAACTGAAGCTGAAGGTCGAAACCGGGTACGACAAAGATTTTGATGTTGATCAAGATGGGCATTGGTTGCTTCAGGGTTGGAAGGGCAGAATCGTGTACGCTTCATCTGCCTGGGCTCCTGCTTAAATGGTTTCTTGCCCCCCAAGAAACCGATTCTCTAGGGTTTGTGCTGTCCAGTTTCATTCAGACATGACTACGACAGATTCCTGCGAGTTCGTTCACGTTGGTGCAAAATAGGGTTCTTGAACACTGTATGCTTGTGAGGTCGTGACGTAGTTTGTGTTGACTGTAACACATTAGATCAGGGCATGAAAGCTATGGCTTTATGCTTTGTATTTTTGCTTTTTGATTGCCCGTCAGGTGTTTAATTATTATTTCATGAAATATGTTTGAAGGTAGTTGTCTCTCATTTAAATTATTCACCATAAATAAATATATCTGTTTTTATAATATTTATGTATATGTCATATATGTATAGTTGGTCGTAAATAAAATAGTACATCCTCCTTTTTAGAATTAATAAAAGTCATCTTTATTGAACCATGTATCCGACCTTTATATTTTTATAAGTTTTTTTTTTGGTAAATAACCTTTCTTGTTATATTTTTGTTTATTAACTATATTTTTCCCACGGGAGAATATTGAAACTTAAAAAGACAATATAAATGAGTTTGCAGGATTAAATAAAAATTGGAAAGAAAAGATAAAACAAAAAATCATTTGATAAAAGGCTTTTGAAGAAACAATATGTATTGAATTAGAAACAAAATATTTTGAAAATTTAACCCCATGGATCATATCTTTTAAACTAAATATTTTTTATTACGGTGATAATTAAATCTTTAAGATGGTAGAGGGGATTTATTTACTAAGACTATAAATAATTATTTAATAAAAACTAAAATAATAGAAAATTCTCCGACAGAAAATAATATGGTACAGTAAAAGTAGATTGGAGTGATGTGAAGACAATTAATAAAAGGAAATAAATAACATTCAATGTACAATGCCATGGATCGGAACACATAAGACCATGTAAGCAAAGTCAAATTTATCGAGATTTAAAGAAGGAATAAAAGAAATATTTCTTTAATAAAAAAGAAAAAATTCAAAATTATAACAAACAAAATAATAGCAAGATCCCAAAAGGCCTTCTAGAAGATAATCATGGTGAAGAAGTTCAGGGGTTCCTGTTTGATTCTCGTAAATGTTTTTTTTTTTCTTTTTTGTTAAATTGATTCTCGTTAGTCGTTATATTGCCGTCTAGTTTGAAGCATTTTATTTTGTTTATTATTTTCCGATGACGAAGTTTGTGGGTCCAAAAAATTCCACTTGTTCAGCAAATAATATAAACTTTCCATTTAAATCTTTTTACTTTTGTCCCCTCTTTTTGTGAGTCTATTTTCAGGCGCATTAAAATACTTTGATTTAAATTGATGGAAAGATATTAAATACACATGGTTATATTGAAACAGAATCATATAATTCTACAAATATCAAAAGGCTAGGTTAATAAAAAAAACATAACATTAACCTAAACGAAATTGGCTAATATCACGGATTATATACCTTAATTTTTTATTAGTTGCAAATTTTATTTTTGCTTCTGCCAACAGTCCCAACAAGGTTTTTAATATTAAATAAAAAAACACTGAACAGATGTATTATTGGTATAGGTATAGACCCACATGATATGGAATCTGAACAAATAATAATAATAATAATAATAATAATAATAATAATAATAATAATAATAATAATAATAATAATAATAATAATAATAATAATAATAATAATAATAATAATAATAATAATAATAATAATAATAATAATAATAATAATAATAATAATAATAATAATAATAATAATAATAATAATAATAATAATAATAGGAGGAAAGGTATCTTACAAGTCAATGTTTGTGGTGGTCAAACAAGCACTGAGTTAAACTTGCTTCCCAAGTTTCGAACATAAAATAAAACCCCAAAATTATCATTTTATTGACGTACCAAAAAGGTTTGACTCAACATCGAATTATTTTACTACTTAATTCTGAACATAATATATAAAAAAATTATGTTTATAATTTGTTTTAATTGGAGCAAATTATGTATTGTTGTTGTTGTTATTGTTTTTGATATTTTATGCATCTATCACAACCTAAGTTAATATTAAAAAAAATATCTGTAATTTTTATTATAATTATCAAAATTAATACTGAATAAAAACATTTAAGATAATTCTAATCTGATATCTTTTTTATCCCAAATTCACAGATTCTATAATTATATTATTGTCATTCGATTCGGACTCCAATAACTCGGATAACTAATTCTCGAGACGGTTTAGATAGGATTTCCGGTTGAACCGGATTTATGATTTTCGGTTTTACCCTTAGCCAACAGGTTTGACTTCCGGGGTCGGGAGAAGTAGCGAGTTTTCTCGTTTCCTCCGAAATTTCCTTTCCCATTTTTTTTTCCAGCATCAACTCTGTTGTCCCCTCAGGCGTGTGCATATATCTCCATATCCACACATAAATACATGAAAAATATTTATGTTGTATATATCTGTAATAGTGACTCCTTAACGTTCGCCATTTTTTCCCTTTCTCGCTGAATTCTGAAGGTCACCCGTCTCTTTGTACAGAGGTGAGCAAAAGATTCGAACTTTGCTTCTTTTACTTTCTGGGTGTTTCGATTTATGGCTTATTTCCTCATCTGCGATGGTTTATGTTGCTTATATGTTATCAAGTTGCAAACTTTTTTTTTATCGCCTCTGTTTTGTAGTTTCTCCCTGACTTGAGGGTTTTTGCTGTCTCAGGTTGAGATTCTGCAGAGGAACTGAATTCGATCTCGATTTAGGGTCTGTGATGATGGAATCGAACTTCTCTGCTGTGCTCAGTGTGGTAAAGGGTTTTCTTGATCATTATGATGGGAACATGTTGCCAAATCCGATTCCCGATCCATTTCCAGATGTCGGGTTCGGTGTTCCTTCATCATCTGATTTCAATCGACCCCATAATTTCGACACCGATCTTCCCTCGGATTGGACACAAACGCAAGATCAGTATTCTCCATCATCGGGCGATGAAGACTTGGCGAATCCCCTTCTGAATTACGTGAGCCAGATCCTTATGGAAGAGAGTATTGAGGATCAACCGTCTATGTTCTATGATTCCTTGGCCTTGCAACGAACAGAGGAGATGCTTCAGCGAGTGATCCGTGATTCTTCTCAAGTTCAATCCGCTAGTCCCTACAATAGCATCGCTTCTATGGATAGTGGTGTATTATGGATCGATAACTTAGATTCTAGTGTTGCAAGTGTTAGCTTTGATTCGGGTGCTTCTTCTGATACTGTTGTTGTCACAGATCCTCCTGGTGTTTCTTCTGGGTTCAATCCCAATGTGGCTTTGCCGGGATCGAACAGGTTGACTGGATCGAGTGATGGGTCGATCGGGCCATCGGTGAACGAGCTTCTGGTTAGGAGTATGTTCAGTGATGTGGAATCGATTATGCAGTTCAAGAAAGGGTTAGAAGAAGCTAAGAAGTTTCTTCCCAATAGTGACCAGTTGATTATTCATCAGGAGACCGAGAAAAGTTTTCCTGATTGGGATGAGGAAGCGGACCCTGGAATGGTTCGGGTTAAGGTGGAGACGGGTTTAGATTCGCCACCCGATCCCTTGAGAGTTAGGAAGAATCGAGAGGGGAACGAATTGGATCTCGAGGAAAGTAGGAGCCGTAAGCAGTCCGCTACAAATGTGGAAGACGAGAACGTAACTGAAATGTTCGATAAGGTTTTGCTTCTCGATGCGAAATTGGATCCACAAACCATCATCGAGAGTGGAAAGACTGCAGATGGCTCCTCGGGTCAGGGGAAAGCTCAGGCTAAGAAAGAAGGACGGAAGAAGAAGAGGAACGAGACGGTAGATTTCCACACGCGTCTTCTTCTATGTGCACAAGCCATTTCCACGGGTGATAAAGGGACGGCTCATGACTTGCTCAGGCAAATAAAGCAGCATTCCTCGCCTCTTGGGGATGCATCACAGAGACTCGCTCATTGCTTTGCCAATGGGCTCGAGGCTCGGCTCAAGGGAAGCACCGGCCCTGTGATCCAATCATACTACGATTCATTGGCCTCGAAGAAAACGACAGCTGCTGATATACTCAAAGCTTACAAAGTTTATCTTTCGGCGTGTCCGTTCAAGACTTTGATCTACTTCTTCTCCAACAAAATGATTGTAGACATTGCCAAAGATGCGCCTGTCCTTCATATAGTCGATTTCGGGATTCTTTATGGTTTCCAGTGGCCGATGTTCATCCAGTACATAGCCAACAGAAAATGCGGGCCATCGAAGCTGCGTATCACCGGTATCGAACTTCCCCAACCCGGGTTTCGCCCGGCGGAAAGAATACACGAGACGGGCCGGAGATTGGCGGAATACTGTGACCGGTTCGGGGTTCCATTCGAGTATAACGCAATTGCATCAAACAACTGGGATACCATCCGAATCGAGGACCTCAAGCTTCGACCAGACGAGGTTCTTGCTGTCAACTGCGGGATGCGTTTCAAGAACCTTCAAGACGAGACAGCGGGAGAGGATAACTGCCCGAGGGATGTTGTCCTGAGGCTGATCCGGAGCATGAACCCATACATTTTCACCCACTCGATCATAAACGGCTCGTTCAACGCCCCGTTCTTCACCACGAGGTTCAAAGAAACACTCTTCCACTACTCTGCGCTGTTTGACATGTTCGATTCGACGCTGCCCCGAGAAAGTAGAGAGAGGTTGAGGTTCGAGAGGGAGTTCTACGGGAGAGAGGCGATGAACGTGATAGCGTGCGAGGGGGCGGAGCGTGTGGAGAGGCCGGAGACGTACAAGCAATGGCAGGTGAGGATGGGGAGGGCAGGGTTCCGACAAAAGCCGGTGGAAACTAAGATGGTGGAATGTTTCAGAGGGAAGTTAAAGAGATGGGGTTACCATAAGGACTTCGTGGTTGATGAAGGCAACAACTGGTTCCTGCAAGGTTGGAAGGGTCGAATCCTTTATGCTTCTTCTTGTTGGGTTCCTGCTTAGATTGTTCTACTCGTTAATGTTCAATGTTAATCACGAGTTTTGTAGAAGCTAATCAGTTTTAATTGATTTGTGTTGATTAATTACTTTGTGTTGTGCCAAAAATTACAAAGAAAAAAAACTATCTTTTTTAATGGAACTGAATGTGTAATCTTAAAAATCTTATTATATGCGATTTTATAACAAATTTGGTAAAAAAATAGTAAGGGGAGAGTGAAGAGGAAATCTTAGATGAGAAATGGAAAGAGTAGAAATAACTTTAAAAAGGAAACCTTCTCGTTGGGTCGGAAGTTTAAGTTCCACGCCTATCTACCAATTGGTGAACGCCACGAGTAACTTCGTTCTAGCCCCTCGACTGGTGATTCCTGGGGTTTTTTTTCCCCGTCTCTTAAACCTATAAAAGCTCTTCTGCGTCCATAGACAATCTTGGAGTTCCGATCCTGCCAGAGCGAGCGATTGATCCTCGAAGAGAAAGAACAAGCTTCCGTCGATCTTTACGCTGGAAAACGCTAAAACCGAATCCTTGTTCTGTTTCTTGCGGTACGGGTGATCAAATTTGACCACTTTCTTGTTCTGCGTCAGATTGTTTTCGACGCTCGTTTGGATTCAGGGTTGAGAAACTTTCTTTTTTGCCATCGATTATGATTCGAAATTTGGCTTTTTTGCCCACTTTTTTTCTGCCGATCTTCTATTTGGGGCCGAAGTTCAAATCTGTCAGTTGAAATTCGGATTGATCCTCTGATGGAATCGTGAAACATGATCTGTTCAATCTCTGATCATGGTTTTAAGAGTACCCTTTTCGTCATGTTGTTTGTTCTCGTCGCTGTGTTTGCTTCTTGCTCATAAGGTTTTCGATGATTTGCCTCAGTGGCTTGACTTGTAACTGGTTGAACTGGAAATCGAGTTAAAGAGCTTGACTTTTAATTATGTGTCAATGATCTTCACTGCTCTTCGATATTTGCCAGGAGAGATGAACGGGGGAGCTTCTAGTTTCGAACAGTGTTACAGGTGTTACCCTGTCTCATTCATTGAGAAGGTATGATCTATTTCATGGAACCATATCATTTGCTGTCTATGCTCTTTGTTCCTGTGTATTCGGATGAGAACTCTATTCTAATTTCAGCAAACTTTATGCAGGCACATCTGGAGAAGGGCGACAAAAGTAATTCACTCTCCCCTGAATCTCGTGATGGTTTCTTTAAAAACCCGATTTCGTTATTCTCTAACAATCCTTTTTACGTGACCTCTGCAGTTATTATGCCTCCCTCGGCTCTTGATCGTCTTGGTTAGTCTTGAGATTGTGTCTTCTCTTTTTGTGTTTGTTCTTATCGGAGCTCGATCTTCTTGCCTTCTAACTCTCGGTCTCTGGGTTCATATTTTCAGCTTCTTTGCATATCGAATACCCGATGCTGTTTGAGCTGAGTAACATTTCTGCAGAGAAAGTCACACACTGTGGTGTACTAGAATTCATTGCAGACGAAGGCCTCGTCTACTTGCCATATTGGGTACTGATTTCTTTTCGTTTCTTCTTTTTTGTCTTCCTTTGTTGCGTTTGAATAGTATATGTTCCTCGACTTGACTTGCAGATGATGCAAAACATGCTTCTTCAAGAGGGAGATCTTGTGCAAGTGAAAAGCGCCAGCTTGGTTAAGGGGACTTACATCAAGCTTCAGCCCCACACCCAAGACTTCTTAGACATCACTAATCCAAAAGCCATGTCTGTACATTTTGAATCGAAACCCCCTGTTTTCACAATTACTCGTCGAGCTGAAAAGTCTTCATTTGTTTCAATACCTTTTGCAGCTTGGAGACTGCGCTCAGGAGTTACTCTTGCTTAACCACGGGTGATACAATTATGGTTCCTTATAACAACAAAAAGTACTTCATCGATGTGGTCGAAACAAAACCTTCTTCAGCTGTTAGTATTATAGAAACGGATTGTGAAGTCGATTTTGCTCCTCCTCTTGATTACAAAGAGCCCGAGAAACCGCAACAAAAGTCGGTATCCGCGAGCAAACGGCCTCCTGAAGGTTTTCCTCGCGATTCTTGGGGAAATATTTTGTGTGATTTTTATATGTGCGGATTCAGAAAACAGTCTTTAAAATGGATCTTTCACTTTTCATACAGTTGAGGAAGAACTGCCGAGCAAAGTTCCGAAATTCACACCATTCACTGGATCAGGAAGACGTCTAGATGGAAAATCTCCTGACACAGCTACCAAGCAACAGGACCAACCGTCTGAGAACGGGAAAGAAGATACAAATGCGTCGAGACCTGCACCAAGGCAGCGTTCAGGAAAGCTCGTCTTTGGATCGAGCAGCAGTCCGGGTGTGAAAGAAACCGCCAAAGTACATCTTTTCTCATTCAAAATATATGTGTCGGGATTCGTTTCAATCCTGTTCTCTCCCAGTCAAATACCATTAACAGTGTTTATGCGGGTGGATAATGCAGGTTGATCCAAAGAATACCGCCCAAGAGACTGAATCAAAATCTGAAGAACCCAAGTTTCAAGTGTTCACGGGGAAGAAATATTCGCTGAAGGGTTAAATAGACAAAAAGACCTTTTGGAGCATGTCAGAAGCTGAGAACACTTGGGAACATTCTCTGGCTTAGTCTTTTGGGCATTCCCACGAAGAGCTTCCCTGATTATGTGTGGATATGTCCGAACTGGAAACGTATATCCACTCTTCATCAACTGTTTTTAATCTGTTACGGAATCTCGGGATCTTCAAACCGTCCTGTATGGCTAATGTTTTGGGATGAATATGCACAGCTTATATGACATGATCGAATAAAAAAACGGATGAAAACCCACTAGGTAGGAACTGCTAAAAAAAACTCTTTTTTTCCGCTTTCCTTCAGAAAGAACAAGGAAAGATAAAAGGGAGTGTCTTAACATTATTTTGGGTTTAAAACCAATTTACAATGGGTAACAATGGACCCTCTCCGACATCGTTCGACTATGTCGGAACCACCTGCGGCTCAAGTGGCGGCACACCACCATCGTCCTCTGCAGGCTTAGCCTCATCGCCCTTCTTCTCTGCCTCTTCGAACCCTGACTTGTACCGGTCGTAGTTTGTCACCTCATTCGACTTGAAGGGTCGCTCTCCCAAAACCTTGACCAGGTCTTCCTGGTGAAGGACTTCTTTCTCGAGCAGGAGCTCCGCGATCTGAGCCACTTGCTCCTTGCGCTCCTCGATCAGCTCCACTGTCCGCTCGTACGCTTTGCTCACCCACTCCCGAACCTCCTCGTCGATCATTGCCCCGGTTTTGTTGCTGTAAGGCTTGGAGAAGTCGTACCCGTCTTCCCGCTGAGGGAACGAGAGCAGCCCGATCTTGTCGCTGAAGCCATAGACCGCCACTTGCGCATACGTCATCTTCGTCACCTTCTCCAGGTCGTTCTGAGCTCCAGTCGAGATTTTCCCGATCAATACCTGCGTTTCAAGACAACAAATTCATTCCACAACCACGAAATCCAGAAGCCCATTTAACCGATTCTTTCCTAGTAATCAATCCGATAGCTTTTGGATAGATGGATAACCTGCTCGGCTGCACGGCCACCGAGGGTCATGCAAGTCATGTCAAAGAGCTGTTCCTTTGTCATGAGAAGGTTTTCATTCGGAACATACTGAGCGAATCCAAGAGCAGCTGTACCACGGGGAACGATAGTCACTTTCAGCAACGGCTCAGCATGTTCTAGAAACCATCCAGCCACCGCATGGCCAGACTCATGATACGCAACTGTCCGCCGCTCCAACTTGCTTATCACCTGATCACGGAAAACGAACAAAGACCGTAGAACATTAACATTCTATTTCAATCTTTCGGAGAAAAAAGAAAAGCCTTGGATGATGTTGATGATGATCTTTCACAATCAGTTTTCGGGTATCAGCTATAGCCTCATTTCCAGGGAGTTAAACTGGAAAGAGGACTGGTGATGGTGAATTCACTAGGAAGAATTCTGCACATACCAGGTTTTTCTTCTCCAGACCTCCAATAACACGATCGATCGCAGCTTCAAAATGATCCATGGTAACAGTAGATCCTTCGTGTCTCGCAGCAATAAGAGCCGCCTCGTTACAGACATTCGCGATGTCAGCTCCAGCAAATCCAGGGGTGAGAGCTGAAAGCCTTTGTGAGTAATAAGATGGTTCGTGATCGAGTTTTATCTTCTTCAAGTATACCTGGAATATCTGCTCTCGGCCTTTAATATCGGGTTTGTCAATGGTGATCTGACGGTCGAATCGACCAGGCCGGAGTAAAGCTTTATCCAGGATATCGGGCCTGTTGGTTCCAGCAAGTACGACAACACCAGAAGTGGTACCAAAACCATCCATTTCCACTAGAAGCTGATTAAGGGTGCTTTCACGTTCATCATTTCCACCTGAGAAACCCCCACGGCCTCGAGCTCGTCCAATCGCATCAATCTCATCGATAAATACAATGCTAGGGGCATGTTGTCGAGCCTCTTGGAACAAGTTTCTTACCCTGGATGGTCCAACACCAACAAACATCTCCATGAAATCTGAACCAGATATCGACAGGAAAGGAACACCCGATTCCCCAGCTGTAGCTTTAGCTAGGAGGGTCTTCCCAGTACCTGGTGGGCCAACTAAAAGCGCACCTTTTGGAATCTTTGCTCCCAAATCTTCATATTTCTTTGGGTTTTTAAGGAAATGCACAAACTCCATAATTTCTTGTTTTGCTTCTTCACAGCCAGCAACATCTTTAAAATAGATCTGGTGTAAACATAAGAGAAGAACGAGAACTTAACATAGAACAATGAAGTAGAAAAGGGAATACTAGTTTTCAACACGTGTAGCTACTTAGATTGAATCCTAACCTTATTCTTAGAGTTCTTATCCACTTTTGTTATCTGAGCTTTCCCTATGCTGAAAATTCCACGACCACCCTTCCCACCAGTTCCTCCAACACCAAGCGAACGTATCTGTCTTGTGGTATAAACAAGCGCTGCAAAGAGTAGTAAATATGGTGCAAGGCCCAACAGATCGTGGAGCCAGACTTCAGAGACATAGGTGACAGGGACATAGTCGTGAGGATTGATGCCTAATGCTTCTTGGGCTTCTTCGAGTCTCTCCTCAAAAGATTCGACGTTCCCAATATTAAAGTAGTACTTATACTGACCGCCATGACCTTTAGCAGGAATTCCATTACCAAGACCTTGGACAACATCTTCAGTTGTTTGATTTTTGGGTGAGCTCCTCACATAGATTTTTGCTACTGATTTATTTTCGACTTCAATGCGGTCCACTAGGCCAGGCTCAAGAAGTTTGTTCCTGAATTCCTGGAAACTAATCTGCAACGAAAAAAACCACAGGGCATTAACGGAAACATCCCATGTCAACTTCAGAATCAAATAGAAATCAGTGATTATATATAAAGAAATCTGAGGTGACAATAAAAAAAAGTTGAAAAATGCTTGCCTTTTGTCGTTCCACGGAATCAAAGGAGAACGAAGAAAGGATCAGGCCGATGGCCAAGAGAGGAATTAACATATTTTGGAACTTCTTCATGAACATATCCCCAAAATTCTCATGCTCGGTCTTTTTAGAATCCTCTGTGTTGCAACCAAAATGTATGTAAAATAGTTAGAATTTCTGAACAAACTTCAATAACACTTCCTGATGCAGCAGAAGTTGTTTCAGAAGAAACTTTAGAGAAATATAGGAAACTTTGAATATTATTGCTCAAGTGTGTCTCTAGAACACAACACAACACCCCTTTATATATAGGTAGAACTAAAAACCAAAGCCTACTCGGACAGGAATCAGAGAAACAAAAGGAATAACCAAAATTAACAAATTATAAAAGGAAAAGGAAAAACTTAGTGATCTTGTCCTATTTCATTTTTAAAACAAAAGGCCCAGAAATAGAGATAATGTTGGGCACGGACAAAAGCTTTCAACCTAATATTTCTGCAATGTAAACTAACAAGCTACTGGGCATCATATAAACGACTCAACCATACTTCCAATGCTATTGAAATATACAAACCATAATTACCAAAATCTAGGAGGAAAAAACTACAAAAGCATCAAATAACACCAAAGAGAATTCTAGGGGGGGGGGGGGGTG